TGACTATTCAGATTGTAAATGAGGGAATAGTTAATTGACTGTGGTTCACTGGTATTAACCAGAGTTAATCAAACTTTGTTCTATCAAAATCAAAACTATCACCATGTTAGGCATATAGAAAGATTCTGAATTTCTAGATATTTCTAGATAGGAAGGTATTTTAGTGCTTAGTGCCTATTAAGGATTTCTTGAGGATCTTACATGTTCAATGTGGACATCAGAAATTGGTTCAAATGTGATACATATATAATGTAAAGGGAATACAGTTGAAAGTACATTCAGTTTTGACTACAATACCTAGTTTCAAATATCTGTTCAGCTGAGATAACTTTAATCAAAACATTCTTTCTCTGTGATACATGAAAATAGCATGAACAGTGATTTATCCTACAAAGCTGTCTCTAAATAAAACTGATTGAAGTTGAATATGTTTCACACATATTCACTAAAGGAGATTTATTTATTTATTATAATGAAACTGACAGCCTAGAATAAAAACAGCTATAACAATAACAATAAAATGTGGCAGGCCCCCCACAAACATATTAACTCTAGAGCTGGGAACAGAGTCAGGATTTAAAAGGGCCTTCCAGAACCCCAGGAGTACAAGCATCTGGGAGCTGCTCCAGAGGGCAAGAGCTACAATGGAGAAGGCATGCTTCCTCAGTCCCACAAGATGAAATTCAGTTGAGAGGACCGTGTGGCAGAAAAAATGAAAATAGGCTGATCCTAAGTTAACCAGCGTCTAAGTCATGATCAGTAATAATCAGTAAAATCAGTAATAATGTAAAATTAACAGTAATACTTTATCTTTTAGTATGAGTAAATATAGGTGAGGGAATATATATATATATATATTTTGCAAAAGTAGGGGCAACTGAAATGCTTATGTGATAAAATTATGACCCCTTTCAAGGCCAGAACCAGACTCTCATGAATATGGCTTGATCTACAGTGAATTATAATTCTTTGAACAGGCTGGCTGGGTAGCAATCAACAAAACTAATAAAAATTTGGCTTTCATTTCTAAACATAATTGCATTCCACCAAATAATCTATAGAATTATAAAGCAGCTGTGACATAAAGACCATCATCCCTCATTGATAGGATCTTTAGGAGCATTAATCTTAATCTTTATAAAAGGAGAGAATTATACCAGAGGTGCCTTCTATGCTCAAGGAATGTAATTTAACTTCCTCAAATAGTCAAACACAATCTCCCTAATGAAAACTTCCTATGTCAATTATTATTATTGTTATTGCTATTATTGTTATTGTTGTTATTATTATATTTATTTGCCACCTATCTCACTATGGGGCTACTCAAAGCAGCTCATAACCATAAAAAATGAAAATAAAAAGGAAGTTCAAACAAAAGTAAAATAATAGAACAATAAAACAAAATATGCTGTATGATTATTTGTATTCTCAGTAATCTGGGAAATTCTGACAAAATGTTACTAATATAGGAATTATAGAGCCATAC